GGAAGAACAATACAATTTAATGTGATCATATGAAACTGTGAGATATGGTGACTAGGACAATAAATGGAAGAAAGCCCAACAAAGAGTAACCAAGAGAATTACCTTTTTTTTGCTTAATTTAGACAACCCTAACATCTAACAATACGACAGCCCTAAAAAAAAAAAAAAAGCTAACATATGATATCAATATGTATCCTACCAAAGCATACTTTCAAAATCTAAGGTATTTAGCTTCTCTGATCTGTCATCTATTTATCATTAGAATTATCAGTTACTTCTTTTCATTTTGTCTAATATTTATGACACTAACTGTACTGCACCTTTACAAGTAGATAAACTTTCAAAGTTTGATTGACTTGACAGAAGAGTGTTATAGCTTGGTTAGATGAATAAGACTTTAGTTGGAACTTATATTTCTGAGCCTGTGGGTATTTCTTCTATTATATTATATCTCTACCATCCAAACCTCAAGCATAGCAGTATAGCACATTAGCATCTTTACAGTCAGAGCACACATTAATCCGAGTCTAACTCTTTTCTCCAAAAACTTGAAATCCATGACCATGAATCTCTTTGTTATGCCACACAAAGATTATATTTTAACAACCTTTAACAAGACATGGTCAAAGGATAAAAACTGTATTCATCCAGCTAGCATTTAACCAGGATTCTTAAAATATCAGTCCAGCAAACTTATACAAAAAAATAACTTAAATTAGAAAATTTTCATTGATGACTATATTGAAAAAGTGTGCAACTTGTCTTACCTTCCTTATCCGTTCTTCTATGGCACTTTGAGCGCGGGACTGATCAACTTTATTGAGATAGAAATCACGTTCTCTTTTGGCAGCAGAGATTTCTAAAGCCAGTTTCTGCTCCCGAATGGCACTCTTGTAAGCTGCATTGGAAAACATTTCAGCATAGACTTGGTAAGAACTGCTTAACCATCATGGAATATAGAACAAAATTCAACAAATTACCAATTTCTTCAGTAAGATCATCCCATTTAAATTTGCTCAAGTATTTGATATTCCAAAGATCATAATAGAATGATGATCGCTTCCTCCCACCTGAAGACAGGATTATTAAAGATTAAAGATCAGAATCCAGGTGCCACAGATAACAGTAAACACCAAATTTCATGTGCTAAAGTGCTAGAAGAAGACAAGGTAAGGAAACAATGCAATTAATCTCCATACCAATTTGTTCACCATTTAACATATTGGCAACCCGCTTAGCAATTCCTTTCCTAGCAAATTCAACCCACCTACATAATGGTGATGAAGTTAAACTTAACAAGATGTCAATATGAATATACAAAAATCACAGTGATGATGATTTTCAAAATGGGGCCTGAACATGAACCAGAACACAAACTTCTACCTACAAATACACTAGTTTACATAATGTCGTTCAACTTACCCTTCTGAAAATTCTTGTTCTTGAGACCCACCTGATGAAGGTCTCTTACCATTTACTTGTGGTGTTCGACCTGCATCATAAAATCAACCCACCACCTTCAGATAACAACACAACCTCGAGGCAAAAACATAACTTCATATCATATCAATTGCCAACAATTTAATTGAACACAGCCCGATTTCCAACCTGAAGGCGTGAGATAAATCCTCAATATTTCTCCATATTGAGACAGTATTTGACGAAGCTTTACATGATCCATGTGGGGAGGAATCCGACTCAAGTAGCAGACCCCTCGATTATCAGCTTCCGCCGCTTTCTTCAATAACCGCTCCTTCTTTTTATTCTTCTTTCCGTCCTTCTTCTTACCATCTATTCCTTGTTTTTGTTCACCCTGCTCACTTTCCTCCTCACTTCTTTCCATCCCATGGTTGGATTTCTGATTTTCTTCATCACCATTTTCTTCTTGCTTCTTTAACAATCTCTTTTCCTTCTTATCTTTCCGTTTCTTCTTCCTTTCATCCTTGCGTTTATTACCTACTTCATTCGAACGACTAATTTCATCGATTTCTTGTTGTTCAGCAAGCATCTTCAACTCCTCTGAAGTTCACCGGGAATGGGTATTTTAAAGTGAAACTCTTGAGAAAGAAAGCACCAGGATACGACGCCAAATTCGCCGGATTTTCCCCCTTTCTTCTCTCGCCGCCACGTGAAAGAAAACCCTCCTCTTCTTGCTGGAGGTTTACAGGATGGGCCAAGATTTATTATATTATAAATTACGGAAACTCTACTTGTTACACTTTTTCTTTGTTTGAAAATAAACCTCTATACCAGTAAATATTTATTTAATTATATTTTTAAATTACAAAATAAAAATTATTTTCATCAATTAACTAATTAATTTAGTAATTATCTCTTTTCATTGAAAATAAAAGAGCTTAATTTTGACTCACATGACATGCCACATGACATGCAGGTGGGGTGAGATAAGGGATATGAGATTATTGTTTTTCATTGTATAACCAAAATAAAAAATAAATAAAATAAAAAAAAATTATTTTATAGATAAAATCGTAATATAAAAGCAAAGGTATTTTTTTTATTTAATGATTAATATTTTACAATTTAAAATAATTTAACTATTAAATACCTTTTTGTTTTTGTTTTTCTAAAATTTAAAAGGGAAATAGAATGGCATAAGATTGAATAGCCTTCGATCTGATTAATAGGGTAGCTATGTTATTTTTTAAGAGAGTAAGGTTCCATTTGGGATTGTAATTCAACAACACTTTTTTCACACAATTTCTCATTAAAAATGTTAATTTATTATTTATTGATACATAAAAGTATTAAGTTATTATAATTAAATTCCTTTTAATTGATAATTTATGTAATTTAACTATTATTGAATAATAAGTCTCTACCGCTGGATTTTTTATTTTGATAAATGGACTGCCAAACGATTATCTTCTAAGGCAAAGAAGACTTCGATAGAGTGATCTAGTTTTGCCTTATCTGTTTGTGCTAGAAATGGAGTCTCTTACTAGGAAATTGAAGGAGTTAAATATGCAAGAGAAGTTTAAATATCATAGTAAGTGTCAAACTATGAAACTTACCCACTTGATCTTTGCATATGACATTATGTTTTTTTGTAAGGTTGATGAGGAGTCCACTGTACTGATGATGCAAATGTTTGAGGATTTTTCCTAGGTCTCTAGCTTGGAAGTGAATAGAATGAAGAGTCAAATTTTCTTTAGCGGAGTTAGTGAAGGGTAAAAAGTTGCTTTAATTCAAAAGCTGGGTTTTGTTGAGGGACAACTTTCGATTAGATATTAGGGGTTGCCTTTGGTGCTCAAAAAGCTTTCTTCTGGGGCATGTCAACCTATTCTTGATAGGATTCATAAAAAAATTGGCTCTTGGGCAACGAAATTTCTATCATATGTAGGTAGAGTGCAATTAGTTAACTCTATATTATTTCACATTCAAGTTTTTTGGAGTGGTGCTTTATTGATTCCTAAGAAAGTGTTAAAGTTAATTGATGCTTCTTGTAGAAACTTTATTTGGTGTGGTAAATGGGATTATAATGCTATGTCC